GAATGTTATTCACACAAAGTGTATAGGTTCAGTTGGCTTTTCATATAGTTCATTCAACATATGGGGAAATTTTATAGTACCTTTTTAGAAATGAAGAGTATAAATCATCATGTTACTTCTTAGGAACAAAGACTTGCTTCTTAAAATACTAAGTAAACAGTAGACGTTTGTAAAAACATGGCACTGAGTAAATGGTCATCTATCATTTTATATTAACTAACTGACACATTAAACACACTGCAAAATGATTTTATACAGGATTTACCCAAGTGCAGTTTAGATAAATAGAACAAACCTAAGCTGCTGTAGCAACTGTATATTGTCACGCGATAGCACATCATTCATGACTTTCAGCAGCTTGATCACACCGTGCGGCAGGAACATACATATATTACTCCCTGAACATGCTCTGATGTTTCTTAGGTAAATGGAAACACATGCCAATGGAAAATGAAAAGAGGTCCACACACCAGGTCCTCGTGCTGTTCCATGTTACAGTAAATGGCGTTCTTCCAAGCTATGTTATAGAGGCTACTGTAAAAGGATATATTAAAGGGGGGGTCAAGAGTGTATTTTTAAGGCTTGGTTGTGTGTACAAGATGCAAAGCAATCTGTGTTCATTCTTTCATTTGTAGAAAATCACATTATTTTTTCATATATCTTCAGTTATCTTACTATCTTATTGTATACAGTTACTCAGCTAACATAAAAACCACTGTCATATTTTCTTGTTACTCTGAAAGGCCTACCCTCAAGAGACTATGATTGGTCAGCTAACATAATGTGATGTGATTCGTGTATCGGCTCCACGTCACCAGGAAAAGTGTCACGTCTCTACAAGCATGCTGTTTTGCGCTGTGTAAATACTATCAGTCAGTGTGGCTGTTAGCTGTATCAGTTTGCGCCCCTTTAAAATAAAGAGCATCAAGGCTATTTGATACTGAAGAATGCACTGAAATCAAACAAACCAAATAAATTCATTTAAACTTATAGATTTTGATAATTGATGTATCCAGATTTTCTAACTAACATGTCACATATTCATTTATTCATTTTCTTGTCAGCTTAGTCCCTTTATTAATCCGGGGTCGCCACAGCGGAATGAACCGCCAACTTATCCAGCAAGTTTTTACGCAGCCGTTGCCCTTCCAGCCGCAACTCATCTCTGGGAAACATTCACACACACATTCACACACACACACTCATACACTATGGACAATTTAGCCTACCCAATTCGCCTGTACCGCATGTCTTTGGACGGTGGGGGAAACCAGAGCACCTGGAGGAAACCCACACGAACGCAAGGAGAACATGCAAACTCCTCACAGAAACGCCAGCTGAGCCAAGGTTCAAACCAGCGACCCAGCGACCTTCTTGCTGTGAGGCGACAGCACTACCTACTGCGCCACTGCCTAGCCTATGTCACATATTTAAATGCAAATTAGTGTGCCATTGATTTCATTCATTCATTCATTTTCTTTTCAGCTTAGTCCATTTATTAATCAGGGATTGCCACAGCAGAATGAACCGCACACTTATCCAGCATATATTTTATGCAGCAGATGCTCTTCCAGCTGCAACCCATCACTGGTAGACATCTATATACACTCATTCACACACTACGGTCAATTTAGCTTACCCAATCCATCTATACCGCATGTCTTGGGACTTGTGGGGGAAACCCATGCAAACACAGGGAGAACATGCAAACTTCATACAGAAATGCAAACTGACCCAGCTGAGGCTCAAACCAGCGACTTTCTTGCTGTGAGGCGATTGTGCTACCCACTGCGCCACTGTCACGCTGTGTTGTTTATTTTTCATGTTTTATCTTTAAAACAGACACTTGTGAAGAAGACTACAAAGTCCCAAATAGATCCCCAAAGAGTTAAAGACCCTATGACACACACGCAGAGACATCTTCAATCTACACTGTTCTCTGTCAAAAAACAGTTGTTCATGTGCGTCACAGAGCAGCTGGCAACCACAAACCAATACAGCGCTGCCTTATTCACATATAAACACACACAAGTAGTGTAGAGCATTTTTTAAATTGAAGGATCATCTAGGTAGCCTGTACTTCTCAATAATGATGTTATTAACCTTTTAACTACCCATTAGGAAAACAAAAGTTTGGATTGCATTTCTTAACTCCTAATGTTGCTAGTTAACACACTCATTTTTTATCACATGCATTTTTTTCAACACATCCTATAATTTCTAAAACATCAGCCTCTACCAAATAGTTATGTCAGTTTATAGTAAAAGTACCAAAATTAATACATATACTATGAAAAGTCTGAAATGTGAAGTTTAAGACCAAATTATTTTTAAAATATCAAAATTTTTTATATTATTCATTCATTCATTTTCCTTTTGGCTTAGTCCCTTTATTAATCCGGGCTCACCACAGCAGAATAAACCACCAACTTATCCAGCATGTTTTTTTTTATGCAGCAAATGGCCTACCAGCCGCAACCCATCTCTGGGAAACATCCACACACACTCTTTCACACACATACACTACGGACAATTTAACCTACACAATTCACCTGTACCACATGTATTTGGACTGTGGGGGAAACCAGAGCACCCTGAGTAAACCCACTGAACGCAGGTTGAACATACAAATTCCACACAGAAACGCCAACTGACCCAGCCAAGGCTTGAACCAAAGACTTTTTTTGCTGTGAGGTGACAGCACTACCTACTGTGCCACTGCATCGCCTATTTAAATATTAAATCATTTTTATTTTTTAAGTACACCATAAAATATTTCAGATGGCTTTTTTTACAATAAAAACAAGTCAAGTGTAGTAATGCAACAGGATTATGTTTGTATTCTTGTAAACCAACAATGTTGTGTGTGTTAACAAAGTCTATATAATACACAAGATGTGTGACTCAAATCTTTTTGAATGGGGAAAAGTGTAAATATGTGAAAAAAGCCCCACCTACTAGTTCAGGAGCCAATCATCGATCGCTATATGGCTAATAAAGCCTGCTTTCTAGTACAGGTGCCAATCATCGATCGCTAGAATTTGATGTTTCCCCATTCAAACAGAATGCCTGGCATACTGCCAGAGAGGTGTTTCAAAGTTGAAATGACTTTCCTTAAAGTGACTTTGATGTTAACCATTATTTAAAACAGTCATTATTTTAATCATATTAACAGTCATTATTTAAAACAGACAAAACATAGTCAACCATTTAGTAGAGCAGGCAGTTAAAGGGTTAAGTCACAATCAACAATAGTGGGTCAGTTTCAGAAAGTGCAAAAAGCTGATACAGACTCAATATGACTCATATTATCCAATGAAAACACTGTCACATCCAAGCGCTGCAGTGCAATACACACACACCCCATGCAAGATCCACAAAAAAGTAAATGCTAGCAAAAGCATAGTCCGGGCCAGTGCAGACACATAAATAAATGCTTCCTGAATGAAAACCATATTTCAGTTTATATCATTTGCTCAGTCTTGAATCTTAATCTTCCCTTCTCTTCTGTGTTTTTATCATCATTTCTTATTTATTGTTTTTTTATAATGCCTTTATGCACTCTTTCATTTCTTCTCTCGTCATTTTCATCACTAAAACACACTCATCTGCTATTGTAATAATTTAATGACTTCTTTACAGTGTTATGTTTCTGCAGAGTCATTTATGCAGTGGCGTTCTTCAGGTCAGGAGAACTTGCAAAACATTCCAAATGATTCACTCAGATCATTTATTAATGTGCTGTTCTTATATATAAAAATCTTTATTGATCATTTTATGTTATACACACCTCACATTTCATTTATAGATTCTTTCAGCCAAGCTTTCTTGTGCAAAGCAATGCATTAATTAATAGTAAAACATAACCAATATAACATAGGTACACTAAAACAACAGCAAAATCTTCAAAAAAATATTTTTGAAGGGTCCAGGGTTGGTGCAATTTCTCAAATACATGATTTTTAGAATATTTGCACTGAAATTTCTGAAATCACTGAAATTGACATTGTCCATTATCATGCATAAAATATGGGAAAATATAGAGCATCAAGATGTGCTAGTGGATCTCAGTTTACTTTCAAGAGCATTTTGTTTAAAATGGAATAATTTATATATATATATATATATAAAAAAAAGTAAATCGCCAAATAACTATTTTAAGGTGTCAGATATATAGAGTCAAGACTGTAAATGATTTGTTGGCTAGGGTATTTTGATTGAATATAACGAAGTACCTCATTGAGAACATAATGTCCGATTGGAGATTCTGTCTCCTGGCTTAATGACAGAAGTAATTTATCCTCCACAACAGAGCAAACTCTGACACGTCCTTTAGCTTTGAGCCAAATCTATACTGTGTAATTTTTCCTTTGCACTTAAACTAATAAACCAATTCACACCTGTTGTTAGAGTATCCTGGGGCAATTCATAAATCCCACCAAACATGTTTTCTCCCTTTCAAGTTGCCCCTATAAGCAGATGTTTCACACATTTTAGTTCTTTAGTACTATTTAATCTTAGTTCGACAAGACTCTCAGTGTGTTGTTTGTCTTTCTCTAAAGGCTTTCATAAGAGTTCATTACTTAGCATCGCATTCTGGTTACCAGAGACCTTAAAGGAAAAGTTCACCCAAAGTTCAAACCAAGCTTTTTTGAATTTGGTGGAAAAACACAAAAGACGGTATTCTTATGAATGTTGGGGAAAAAGCACTATGGAAGAACTATGGAGGTCAATAGCTGTATTTTTCCTCAACATTCTTCAGTATATCTTCCTTTGTGTTCCACAGATCAAAGAATTCAAATAGTAGTTAATTTAACTGAAGGATAAGTAAATGATGGCAGAATATGGATTACTGGTTGAACTATCCCAAAAACTCGATGCTGCTCAGATTTTATATATATATATATATATATATATATATATATATATATATATATATATATATATATATATATATATATATATATATATATATATATATATGAATTTATATTATCCAAGTAGCATAACACACACACACCATCAATGGCCTGCATTAGAGAGTATTGCTATATTTGCACAGCACATTTAAAAAGCTATAATCCTTAAGCCCTTTAGCACCAAAATGAGTAATCTGTTAAGTAAAATAACTATGCACAGACATGGTCATACGCTCATTCACTCGGCCGCCATTTTTAAAACATGAAAGCGAGGCTGCGGTGAGAAGAAACACTGAAATATAGGATCAGCACTGTAAGCATTGCAACAACATGCTGTGATGATTTCAAAATGCAGATATGGTATAAACATCACTTTAATAGCATTCAGTTAAGTTTAATTTTAACAATTAAAAGCATGTTAGACATCAAACAAAATTACAATCTCTTTAAGAGTAATAAACTTAAGTGTTCTCCTAGGCTTCAGCTCAAGGCACCGGGTGAACACTGTGACCCTAACATTTAAGTGCCGCTGAGTGCGTTCTTAAACATTGTGGATTTGCCATAATATTCACCAGTCCTTAACAGAAATGACTGTGATTGGCCGTGAAGTTCATCAGTTCACCACTCTTCACTGAATGCAAACACAAATACACAGACACTGGATCATTTTAAAGCAGCGAAGATCAGCTGATTGCTTGTCTGTGTTTGCACTCGGTAAACAGTGGTGAAGTGCAGTAAACTGATGACCTTCATGGCCAATAACAATCATTTCTGTTGAGCACTTGAGAATATGGCAAACCCGCGGTGTTTAGGAACGCACTCAACAGTGCTTAAATGTTAGCGGGAATTAATTTCAGTACTGAAATTCAGTATTGTGACAGGTTTAATAGAGTAAAAGAATCAGTTCATTAACTTGAGTTTGATAAATGGTATCTAAAACGTTTGTTTGGGAAAGAAAATGTTAGCTAACTAGTGCTATTTTCCTTAAATGAGCTGATAATGTGGTCAGCTATCCCTTTTTATTTTTACTAACCATTTAGAACGGACATTCAGGTCACTCGGGAGGTGGTGAAATTATAAATTTGTGTAACATTCTCATTGCTGATAAGATATACAGCCAGGTACACAATGTTCCTGTGTGACTCAGGTGACACTTCCTAGTTTCTTCCCACCTCAGCCTTGATTTTGCTTATAAAATGGTGGCTGCGTGAAAGTTTTATAGGCTGTACAATTTGGTGGACAAAACAAAAAAGTGGGCAACTCTAATTATTGCTCAGAGCTGCCCTTTTGGCAAAGTGGCGCAGCTGCGCTTATTGTCTTTCTGCTGGTCCTTCTGCGCTTGCCTGTCAGGAGTGTGTAGAAGAACGGATTCACACATGAGTTTCCATAAGTCAATCCTGTGAGGATGCGATTTATGGTCACCTGTGTCCCAACCGGCACCACACGAAGAACCTCAGGCTGGTACAACGGTAGAAGCTGCCAGATCCAAAATGGAAGGAAACAAGCCCAGAATGTCAGCACAATACCCAGGATAAGGAGCAGAACTTTTGGGCGAGGTGCACGGGGTGGGTAGGCGTTACCCCCTCCAGCCCAAGCTGGTTGAGTTTGAGATACCCAGTACAGTCTCCCCAAAGCTGCATACAAAGCTCCAATTGCCAGTCCTGGGCCTAGGATACTGGTGCAGAAGAGGATACTGAGGTAGGCTTTCGAACTCTGCTCATCCCAGGCAGGAACACACAACTTTCCTTCATGGTTCTCTCCATCTTCAAGGTGCAAAGTAATCATCATGGGCAAACTGAGAGCGATGGCAAAGCCCCAGGCCAAAGCGACTCTTAAAAGTCCAGAGGATGGTGTGGATGTGGTTGCCAATGGATCGGCCACAGCTCGATACCGATCCAGACTCATAGCGGTGAGGGTAAAGATGCTTGCGTGCATTGTTAACAAGTCCAGACTGAGTAGGAGTCGACAGCCAAGTTCGCCAAATGCCCAGTCAGATGCCAGACTGTCATACACAATGAAAGGGGCAGTGGACAGGTACACCAAATCTGCTAAAGCCAGACTCAGAACCTGCAGGTGAAGAGAGGAAGAGGAGGAGGAAGATGTGGGAGAGGAAGATGGAGAAAAAGAGGGAGAGAAAGAAGGGGAGGAAGAACCGAGGCAGGACAGACTGTAACAACACATAGGAGCAGTATGCCGCCTTCTTGACATTCTGCGGCGGCGAAGGAGAAGTACTAGGGTGTACAAGTTGCCCAGAATACCCAACAGAGAAAGGAGGGATAGGAAAAAGCAGAAGAGAGCAGTGGAAGCTACACTTGGGGATGGGGAGAGAGAGGGTGATGATGAGGGAAAGGAAAGGTTAGTGAAAAAAGGAAAGGTGTATGAAGGTGAAGGGGAAGAGAAGAGGGAAGTAGAACCAGGTATATCCATTTGTCCTGGAGAGCAAGAGTCTCAAAATGAGTAACCTTCCGATGAAATAAGGAGGCCAATGCAACGAGTGTTTTAGATGAACTACTGTATCCAGGACATCAGGGGATCCATATTAGAATGGGAGATCTGAGAGCAGATTAATAAAGGTAAAAGAGGGGAAACAAGAGAAAATGAAATAGTGATTTTATAAACTTGTATTAATTATGAGGCTTGTGCAAATTATGACATTGATATTAAACACTGATATTGAATAATTTGAACAATTTCACACAAAACTTCACATAAAACTTGACCATAGAGCAAAACTAGTGAAAAACTAAATAAATAAGCTTCCATAAAATTAGGACAATGTTTGACCAATAATGAACTATTTTGAAATATGAGAGTTAAAAATCCAATTACTGAGGAATTTTCAATTAAAGTGGTCTAAATGAAATACTTAGCAATGCAGATTACTATAGCATTACATTTTGACCCTGATATATTTCTGGTTATTGCCAAAAAAAAACAACAACAAAAAAACATGCAAATTATCTTGTGTGATCCAGAGTCCCTCGCAAATAAAAAAAGCTGTCAGAATTAATTAAACCAGAATCTAGAGAATATTTACACTTAACATTTCCCCCTCAAACTAATGTCCGAAATGCTGGGGGTATCGAATAGACAAGGAGAACCCCTTACTAGACCCTTTTATTTTAATAAGCACGCAGCCGACGTCATCTGAGGGAATTCTATTTTTCATCATGATGACGGGTGTTAAGATCAAAGCCCTGCCGGGGGTCCCACGAACACTTACAGGAAAGAATGTTGGTGGCACATGGTGACCCTTAGCGGGACAGGTTACGAGCACTGGCACTGGCAGTACCCCGCCGCGGCCATTACCCCTCAGAGAGCGTGCCTTAAATAACATTTTATAAACAGACTCGCAAATCTGTTCATTTAATTGTTAGCCGAGCACAAGACAAATCTGGGATTTATTAACTGAAATTACCTGCGCCAATTTAATAATAAATTTGTAGGAGCATAAAGCTTTAAAAATATGCAAACTAAAACTTTGAATAATAATAATATTTTTCTTCTTATTAATTAATCATTATTATTAATAATAATAATATTATTAATAATAATATTATTATTATTATTATTATAATTATTATTATTATTAAACTAGTCCCTGCGTGAGTTCCAACATGTAACTTTTAAAGTTGTAGGCTAATTTATTGTTTTAATAATATAAAAATGTCGAACAGGAATGCAATGAATTATGGAGGCTAGAAGACCGGTGTATGTTGCAACACGGAGTGAGTTGTAACATCATTAGTTTAACCGGCTAGGAATGAGCTCCATCATTCATGATATGACAGCAGAAGAGTGAATATAAACATATATCGGATTTACAGAAGAAAACAATATTTTGAGGTAAGAAAGTGTAATTTATGATAAATAAATAATTTCACAAACTGTCAAATCATATTTTACAATTTGAAATAGCCGTATTTAACATACACACGTGCGCACATTGCTTCTTTAAAAAAAATTAAATATCCTGGCAACAAGGGAATGTTTAAAGATTTTCCATAATTCTGTAATGCGACAGGCCACTTGACTCAAGCGCACTTACAGTAATCTAGTTTATTTTACATTTCTTAGTATAATGTGTATTTATTTTGTTTGTTTTATTTGCTAAGTTTGCTTAATAACAGCTATAAATTAATAAAGCCACCAGATCGTTATTTTGCAGCCTGAGAGATTGTAAAATCACGTATTAATAATTGTATCTATTTGTCGTAGATTTTGTAGATGTTTGAGGACATCAATCATGGACTCATTCCGCAAAAAGAAAAAAGGCCAACAGATGTTAAAGCCGCTGACACGGATCTTTCCATTTAGTTCTTAATTGGCGCATCCTTAGAGATGTCTACGGGTGTGTAAAACAATGACATGTCCAAGACAGCTAAAGCTGCTCGTCAGCTAAATCGAATAAACAAGAATATATCAGATTAATAGATAGACAGACGACAGCATAGCATATTATTATATAATAATTTGATTAGGCCGTTTGTCCTTTTAATTTCTGGCGAACAAACAAACAAATCTGTAGCTATTTATTAATACAGACGTATGATACGATAAACAAAAAATTTAAAATCCGAAAACATGCCTTACCCTTAACTGAGTATTCAGAGATAGCATGTTCCATAAATCGGCCTTCATCCACACTTCAAACAACGAGACAATGACGAAAATCCCAATGTCGGTTATTCTAATTAAACGGCGTCTTTATAAGGCATAAATCAAGACGCCAAGTGAAATGTTAAATGTTCCTCAGAGGACACACTTAAAGAAACTTAGGACAGTGTAGAGTATCTCTCAGTCAGAACCAGCTAGTCCACTCCTCTCACTCATATGTTGTCAAAAGCAAATGAGGGGAGGGAAGAGAAGAGGCTGGAGAAAGAAGGGTGTCTTTAATAAAGACCCACACTATTATCAATGGCCTTTGAGGAAGACAATTGATCTTCATTGGCAGAGGGTTGAATGTAATTTGATGTAGCTAGTCTCTTAACCTGAATGATATTCTTTGTGGTTTTATCATGAACTTCACTCTTGTGATTAGATACCTTCAGCCCATTTTTAACAAACGTCTTTACGAGCAAAAAGTCTGTGCTTTAGGGCAGTATTTACAAGTGCCAAAAGCAATACAGTCAGTATACCATAGGAAAAACACTTGTAAATGTCAGAGAACAATATTTATGCCCACCATCCATCAAAGCTATTTGGGGTTAGCGGCATGCAGGGAATATTTCAAACCTCATTTATTGGAGAACTGTAAGAATTACAACAACAAACATGAAAAGGTACATAAAAGGATTCAGTTCTACAGGTATACCCAAGGAACAAATGAACATGTTATTAAACCTATTAATTGTGGCTGGACTGAATCATGCATGAACAATGCTGGAAGAAATTTTGATGCGCGTCACAATCCAAACCACAGCTGAGGCAGTGAAAGCCATTTAATCACTAGAAATATGTTATCGCTCCCTAACGACCATACAGTAATACATAACCATTAATGGAGAGAAAACGTTTCAGTGGAAAGACATTTTCACCTCCTTAGTCATGCAAAAGTTAAAATGATGTATGGTGTTGATGTCTTGCATACTTTTTTTGATCAGACTAAAATGTAGTCCATTAGAAGCACATGATACTTAAATTACACTCACACACACAAAACCAGTTCGATAATCATTCATGTATCCACACGTAAATCCAAACTTAATGGCTCACTTTAGAAAAAAAAAAAATCTTTTGAAAGATGATTTTTGTGCAGTGTTCACTGTATGGATAGTATTTACTGGTGGGTAGCACAATCGCGTTACAGCAAGAGGGTCGCTAGTTCAAGCCCCGGCTGGCTCAGTTGGCATTTCTGTGTGGAGTTTGCATGTTCTCACTGTGTTCTCATGGGTTTCCTCTGGATACTCTGTTTTCCCCCACAGTCCAATGGCATGCGGTACAGGTGAATTGAATAAGCTAAATTGGCCATGTATGTGAGTCTGTGAATGATTGTGTACGGGTGTTTTCTAGTACTGGGTTGCTGCTGGAAAGGCATCCACTGCATGTGCTGGAATAAAAATATGCTGGATAAGTTGGGGGTTCATTCTACTGTGGCGACCCCTGATTAATAAAGGGACTCGCTGAAAAGAATATGAATGAATGAATGTTCTTTTGTATTCTATAGAAGAAAGGAACTTAAGCAGATTGAGATGACAATGAATTAATTATATAGAATCATATATTTTAATATGATTTTTGTGTAAACAAAACCGTTAAACTTTGATTAAAACTGTTTTGTTTTAAACCCCATTAAAGTTCAATGTATTAAAAAAAACATTTCTTAAAAAATTCTTACATGTTCCATTAAAAAAGAGCTTGGAACTGACACAGTGAATAAATGTCAGAATCAAATAATCAGTTTACGGTAAACTATCTCTTTAAACTTGGTTAAACCACCCAAAAACAGATGATAGTAATACCTAAGCTGCATAAAGTTTTGATTATGGTCACTGGTTTTCCAATGTTTTGATATCATTTAGGTGTAAACCACAAAAAATGAGAGCTTTTCACCAGTCAGTCCAAAACGTGTAATTCCATACACACCAAAAAATCGAATTAGAATCTGACTGGGAACAGCATCCAAAAGTTGAACAAGTCTGTCGTTTCCATTTTTCAGATTAGTTATCAAACAGTTCATCTTATAAGATTCAGCTTAATACTTTAAACCTGAAATCTAAAGTTTTGAAGCACACGTGTGAGTGAGTTGACACATCATGTTCTTTCCTGTAAAATGAAGATGACTCATAAGATGAAGACAATCCAGGATAAAGGAACAACCAGCATAAATTATCATCCAGTAAGAATGAAAGAGTAATGGAGTTAGAGAAAGAGACAGAAGTTATAACCCCGTCTCCTCATGAGCTACTGACACCAAAGTCTGTATTGCACCCGTTGCCAACACACATCAACACAGGGCCAACAAACACATATCTGCACATCTACCACACTCCCGCCAACACACACACAGCTGACACACTTCAACTTAACACCACCCCTGAACACCCGATACAGTCAACGCTCAAACACATCTAATCAATGGAGTAAGGAGACAGTGTGAAGTTGACCGCAAGAGTCCAGCTGAATTTTTATTGCAGTTTGTAGTGCCTGCTTAATGAATTAGTCACTTTTTTCAACGGTTATTTTTTTTTGACAACTTTAAAATAAAGGCATTTGAGTCGCTAAAATATTTACAAAAGCTATTATTTCTAAGAAACTTTTTTAAAATATTTTCCAAATAATGTTTAACAGAGCAAGGGAATTTTCACAGTATGTCTGATAATATTTTTTCTTCTGGTGAAAATCTTATTTGTTTTATTTCAGCTAGAATAAAAGTTAAAAACATAAAACAGTTTTAAATTATTAGCCCCTTTAGCTATATCTTTCAATAGTCTACAGAACAAACCATCATTATACAATAACTTGCCTAATTACCCTAACCTGCCCTTAACTTAACCTAATTAACCTAGTTAAGCCTTTAAATGTCACTTTAAGCTGTATTGAAGTGTCTTGAAAAATATCTAGTCAAATATTATTTACTGTCATCATGGCGAAGATAAAATAAATCAAATATTAGAAATGAGTTATTAAAACTATTACGGCAACCCTTATTATCATAGTTCTCTGCTATAAGTGTACTTCCTGGGGAATATTGTGACTTATGTAACTGCAATCTTTTTTTCTGTAATCCTTTTGTCTTTTCTTTCCCTGTCCAGACCCTCAAGCTTCGTCTTTGTTAGTCTGCTACATATTGTTAGATAGCAAAGCATGATCATATCACCCATTACTGTTGTCACTTTATTTATTTATGTATTTATTATTATTTTATGTATTTTTTATTCTTTTATTTTATAAAATTTAGCAGGTTTTTTCTATTATTATTTTTTTAATTACTTTTTTACTATCTTTCTTTAGGCATTTAGGGTTTGTTAAAGTGGGTTTTATATATATATATATATATATATATATATATATATATATATATATATATATATATATATATATATATATATATATATATATATATATATATATATATATATATATATACAAATAATTTTCCAAATAATGAGTAACAGAGCAAGTAAATTTTCAGAGTATGTCTGATAATATTTTCTCTTCTGTAGAAAGTCTTATTTCTTTTATTAATAAAATAAAAGCACTTTTTTTTAGAATAAAAGCACTTTTTAATTTTTTAAACACCATTTTAGGGTTAAAATTATTAGCCCCTTTAAGTTATATTTTTTCGATAGTCTACAGAACAAACCATCGTTATACAATAACTTGCCTAATGCCTAATTGCCCAAACCTGCCTAGTTAACTTAATTAACCTAGTTAAGCCTTTAAATGTTACTTTAAGCTGTATAGAAGTGTCTTGAAAAATATCGAGTCAAATATTATTTACTGTCATCGTTGCAAATTTGAAATAATTCAGTTATTAGAAATGAATTATTAAAATTATTGGGGGGGGGGGGGGGGCTAATAGTTCTGACTCCAACTGTATATAGTATACTGATAAATTAGTATTGCATGTAAAATACTGATAAATTAGTATTGCATTGACTGTAAGTAAACAGATTTTTACTGCATTAGTAACTACACAGTAACATATAAATAAAAGAAGATGCAGCATACTGTAACATCAGACATTCTCAGTTAATCTAGGCTTTCTACTCAGATGCAATGCACAAAGCTTTTACAGTATTTTCTTGATTTTACAAAAAAAATACTGGCAGTTGCATTTTATGGAGCTCAAGGAGCTCAAGCTTTAAGGAAATCTATCTACGTTATACTCTCACCTATATGGTTATGAACTTTGGGTCATGACCGAAAGGACAAGATCTTGGATACAAGCGGCCGAAATGAGTTTTCTTTCGCACGGTGGCAGGGCACACCATTATTGACAAGGTGAGGAGCTCTGTAGTACTAGTCAGAGTGTTGCATGGTTTCCTGAACTATATAATAAACTTGATTACATTTTCAAGATATTCTTTTTTTTTTTTTTAATTAGTAAATTACCATTAATGTATTTTTTTTTTCTTTAAAAAATAAAAACTGAAACTTAAGTTATTCAAAAAAATCAAATTTGTCCAAACAATATAAGTCACTGAGGTCCTGTGTGGTTTTATCCCATGAAGACTTTCTTAACTACGAAAACAGTTGAAATGTTCTTCAAAATATTTTTTTGTATCAGTCGAGGTCACTGTGAATCTTCTTCAAATGTGAATAAATCGAAACATATACAGATTTGAAACAACATAAGGATGAGTAAATAATGACAGATTTTTTATTTGATGTTCATTATGCCTGCAGAGGCATTAGACTGATAATCCTTTCTCAAGCCACTGCTGCGTTGGTCTAAAATCGGTTATAACTCTTGTGTGAAGTATGTAGGATTTAGAGGGGTGATCTGGGCTTAGCGTGTCCCAGGCATGTGCTGTATATTTGAGAACACAAGATGGACAGAGACAGGCACCAGAGCCAAGACGAGAAGAAGGGCAACATACCTCTCCCTGCAGGGTGTGTGGAATTTCAACAAATACCTGGCACAGGCCTGCCAAAATAGGCAAAAGAGAGGGGGATTAATAGAAAGAGACACAGACGGGACAGAGACAAAATGCGTTTGTCTGATGTCTCACTAACGGACAGAGAGTGCATAATAAATAGAAAATAGAACAAACAGATCTTGATGTGACAACGATAAAAATGCAACACAGGCATCATTCTTCTCTAGGACAATATGACAAATGGAAATTGAAAAGTACCATGGAATTAACACTAGAAGCTTTATTTTTTTGTGTGTGTTTTTTTTTCATCTCTTATTTCAAATTTAATTAGCCTAATTTTGTCATTAAGCTTTCAATATTATGTAAATGGCATAGTGTAACCACCTGGTTAAACCTCATATAAAACACAGTGCCAAAATTTCCTTCAGTTAACCAAAGAGAAAACTGAAGTCATTGCATTTAGGAACAGAGATGAGGGGTTAAACTAACAAATTAAGGTTAAGAATCTTGGTGTGATTCTGGAGTTAGATCTGAATTCAGGAGTCATTTCAAAGCAGTAACTAAATCAGCATACTACCATCAAAAAACAATGCAAGAATTAGATGCTTTGTTTCCAGTGAAGACTTGGACTGCTTTTATCACCAGCAGGGCGGATTACTGTAATGGACTCCTGACT